GAACTCACAAAGATCAGCCTGCCTCTGCCTCCCAAGTGCTGGGATTAAAGGCGTGCGCCACCACGCCCAGCCAGTAGTTGGGCTTTTAAAAGACTTTATTATGAAAATTTTCAAATGCACATTAAAAGAAAACCCAGTATAATAAACATCCATTTATGTGTTACCTCTTTTTAACAATTACTAGTATTTGATCTTTTTCTGTGCTGATGAGTTTTTTGTTTGTTTATCTTGTTGGGGTGCCTGTTTGGGGTCAGAGAACAGTTTTCAGGATTTAATTCTTTCTTTCTACCATGTGGATCCTGGGAATCAAACTCAGGTCATCAGGCTTGGCAGCAAGCATCCTTACCTGCTGAGCCATTTGCCAGCCCTGTGTTGATGGGTTTTAAATCAGACTCAAGATAGCAAAATATTTTATTCCAAATACTAATGTAAAAATCTTCAAAATCTCTTATAGTGTTATTCTGTAATCACTTAATTAAATTGACAATAATTTCTTTTTCTTTTTTTTACTATTTTTTTATTTTATGTGTATGAGTGTATTGCCTGCATGTAGGTAAGTGCACCCATGTCATGCAATGCCTGCAGAGGTCAGAAGAGGCTGTCGGATCCCCTGGGACTGGAGTTACAGAGAGTTGTTAGCTGCCATGTGGGTGCTGGGATTCGAACCCAGGTCTTCTGCAAGAACAGCCAGTGTTCTTAACTGCAGAGCCATCTCTCCAGCCCCCACAGTAATTCCATCTTTTCCCGTCATGCAAAATGATTTCATTACCATTGGTTTGTTTGAAGTAAGAGTCAAGCAAGCGTTAGTGCTTACTTGTATATTGCCTCTATATAATATACACTCTTGCTTTTATTACCCCAAAAGTGAGAGTTGCACTTTATTTGGAAGGTAGAGTTGGTATGTAAAAGTGCTATGAAATGTCATGTTTGTGAAGTTCTCACAGAGCAGAAGCTATATAATTTAGATTCTAAAATACACGAAGTAGGAAATCAAATATCCTTGAGTTATAACATTTACAGACTTGATACATGGAGAAAGAAGGAACATGGGGTTAGGTGAATTTGAGAAATTCTGATATAAACTGGGCAAAAGTAGGACTTTTTGTACTAGAAATAATCCCAGGATTTTATTTCTTAAGTTTAAAGCAACTTTGGAATTCAGTTTTTTTCTTTCAGTGTCTGCCTTTATTGGTTTAACCTATCGTAATTTTCATGTCAATACGGTATATATTAAATTATAAGTGTATAATCTATTGATGTCTCTTCTACTATCATTTAGGTTATTTCAGACACGTCTTTCCGAAACTCATTTGTCAGCTCAAGGTAAAAATGATACTTTCTAAAATATCTAGATTGTTGACAATCTGCTTTAAAAAAA